GCTTAACTACAAAAAGCTACAACCGCTTCTTATGCATATTCAGTGTATTGTTATTTAAGAAAGTTTTACATAACTTATTACATTTGAAAGATGAATAACTTAAACGCCAATTATGACGTCATGCACTTGACCATTAAAAATTGTTTAACTACTTCAACGAATACAGATAATATAAATTATTTTGTATATCATATTTGTATTTGGACTTTTTAAGTTAATTAAGTACTGTATTTCTTAGTTTTTTTAATCTTAGTTAGGTAAAGGGGGATTTTTGTTTTGGGAAAGACGTGTCAATCTCATAGTGCTGCTAGTAGATCCTAAGAAACGAGCTGGCATAATCGTACAGACGCTTCTGATGCTGGCTTAGCCAATCTATACTATTATAATAAAGCGTAAACACACACTGCTTTGTTGCTTAAGATGTCTGCAATTACAGCATATTTTTGAATAATACTTTTTTTAATAAAAAGCCTTACATTTACGTCACGCTTTAGGCTATATATTTTCACGCCATTAGACTTAGGGGATAAATATTTTGGATAAAAATCCTAATGTGATCCTAAAGAGACCATAAGTTGCTGCCAACATCAAGAAAGTAAGATTGCCAAGGTTTGTCTTGTATTGACATAATTATGTCTACATCGGACGGGTATTTCTTAGTTCATATTATAAAATTACATTTGGTTCCTTTCGAGATCTAAGAGTAGGTGAAAACCTTTGACTAAATTATCGCAAAAATGTGCGATTGTCGATTGTTTCGCAGCCCATTCAACTGTTTAGTTGCACAACTAAAAATCGAGTAGTATGCGCACCTCTATATAAGCTCATAGAAATCAAAGCGTGACTAAATAGTTGTGCGATAATTTAGTCAATGGTGTGTGAATTCTAATAATCCCTGAAAAATTCATTGAGGAAACTTTTGACGTCCTACCTAACAGACAGGCGCCTCCCTTCTCCATCAAACCGCAAGGTCGCAGCCGCTACTGATCCGAGGTCAATTGTCACAAGAATTTTGTGGTTTATATGAAATTTGATACAAATCGTTTGACTTCAAAATACTTAAAAGTATTATCTTTGGTAAAAATATAATCATACAAAAAGATCAAACAAATTACTACGCAGATTTTAATAAGTTCTTGTTTAACTGATTTATGCTAGGTTCCTGAAGTTTCCGTTTATTTTACATTAACTAGGGATTGCTTACTGTTAAGTTGACCTAAGTTTTAACGGAGTAAAACTCAAGTGACGTCGTTCGGAAACGAATTACTAATTGTGATTATTGTTGACTAGCTGTTACTCGCGACATCATTCCTGTGTAATTATAAAAATACTAAATAAAACAAAACATAGCTTATGTTACTCACAGATAAATTACCTTGCTAATGGTGAAAGAATTATTAAAATCGGCCCAGTAGTTTTTGAGTTATTTCAATATATACAAAAATACAAATCTTTTCTCTTTATAATATGAGCATAGATGACATATAGTAAGTGATCCCATGTCATTCAATTTTTATTCCACACCTCAATTAGTGGTTAGATTTTTTAAAATAACAAACAAGTAAGTATTCATATCTTAATTGAGTAACTTCACAGATATTTTTATTATAACGAAATGTAATTCAGCGTTACTTATTCTTGTAAAGATCAACGTTGTTGATGTTTTAAATTCGATACACACGACATATCGAGATCGTATTGCGTAGTCACGCACTAATTGCTGATGTTCGATCACGAATCGTTTTACGATTATCGAGACATCGAAAATATCGACACAAAAAAAAACAACACTAGATATCTCAATCAATATTAGATATTTTGATCTTTACTTTTTAGGGGTGTCGAAATTGAGTTGGATTTTAAAGAATTACAAATCAAAAAGTTTCAAATAGGTAATTGTAATATTGATAACTAGCTGATGCTCCCGACTTAGTTTGTGTGAAATAAAACAATACTTAATAAAAAAACATAGCCTATGTTACTCAACGACTCACTGATAACGTAGCTTTCTAATGGTGTACGAATTTTTGAAATCAGTCCAGTACTTGTTTAGTTATAGATACAAAAATACAAATCTCTCTTCTTTATAATCATATATTAATATTATAAATGCGAAAGTTCAGATGGATGGATGTTTGTTAGTGTTTGTAGCCTAAACGGATGAACGGATTTCTATGAAATTTGGTATAGATGTATAGGATATTCTGGAAGAACACATAGGGTACTTACTTGTTTATTTAATTCCACGCGGACGGAATCGCGGGCGAAAGCTACTTTTATATATATTAGTATAGGCTAATATTATAAATGGGAATGGATGGATGGATGTTTTACTATGTATTTCTAAAACTGCTAATGAAATTTGGAACAGATGTAGAACATAGTCTGAATGAATACACGCTTCATATTAAGTTTTATTTTTAATTCCGCGTAAACAAAGTCCTGTGTTAAAGTTAATGTTTTCAGGGTTATTTATTTCATTACTGCGGAAATAAATCTACATTCAAAATGTTATTTATGTGTTCATGGGCAAAATTTTATTTTCAATTTTATAATTTATTTTAAAGCGCTGACACCCCTGTCTGGTATTATAATAATTGCATTACGCTAATAGGTTATTTTGTAACAGTTAAGATGTGGGATAGCCATCACTTGTAACGTTGTAATGAGTGCTGGCAGTCGCTACTTCAAACATTAATGAGAGCATTTTAACGACTACGATGTACTTGATTATTTTAATTGATTCGTTCTTATCATATACTAGCTGTTCCCGTGCGACTTTATCCGCGTGAAATGATGAAAATTACATATTATTGTTTACATTTCTCCAATTATCAATTGCAAATGTCAAAAGACATGAGACAATGACAAACCATGGCAACCTCGCCTCCTAGATGTTGGCAGCCTGTAGTTTACAGTCCCTTTCCCACATTTAGGTTTTTTCTAACTTTTTTATCCCCTAAATTTTATAGCGTGAAAATATATATCCTAAAGCGTATAGTAAGTGTAGAGCTTTTAATTAAAGATATAATTATTAAAAAATATGCTGTAATTGCTGACATCCTACGACACAAAGTAGTGTGTGTTTACGCTTTATTAAATCAGTAGAGATATGTACATCCTTAAATGTTTTCATTTTGGTAGCAGCAATTGTTAAGAATACGATCGATATCGTGTCGGAGTAGCGCAACACTATATAATTGTCACACAGGTCCCGTCACTATGACAGCTGTCAATGTCAATCAGACATCAAGGAGAAGGGCGCCAATTCTAGCGGAATTGGTAGACTGAGGTACGGAGTTTTTTTAGTAATATCATAACCCTGAAAAATAGATTATCCATTGCATAAACATGGAGACTAAAATTGTGATTTTAGGTGTCCTTTTTAAATGATTTAAATTAATAAATTTGGTAAGCTAATCTTGGGCTCAATAATAATGCTATAGTAATGTATATAATTGTTTAATTTCCATTAGTCTTACTTTGAAGATTTCACGCTTATGAACAGAACGCATTAATTACTTTGATAACAACAATAAAACTGACTTCCTACATTTCCAACGCAGTTTCCGGCAAATGCATCATTTGAATAGATTCAATGTAAGATGTAAGATATCTTATGTTAGAGAAGCGTAACGTCTTTGTTGCATACATTGATTTCATTGTACATTACGTTAATGTTGTTTGTTTAATTATTTAGCAGATTATCAGAAAAACTCGTGTAGGGCACGCTTTTGACTAAAATATCGAACAATGCGATTGTCGATTGTTTCGCAGCCAATTCAAGTGTTTAGTTGCTCAACTAAAAATCGAGTAGTGCGCACCCATAAGCACATAAGAATCAAAGCGAGGCACAGTTGTGTGACAATTTAGTTTTAAATTGAATAATAAATTGACGGCAACGGAACTTACAGTGGTAGTGCCCGCTTTAACATCTTAGCACTGCAGGGCCGGCACGCCCGGTGTAATACCACGACCACACAGAAGACAGGCGTGAAATGGAAGCAATTCCGTGTTTCGTCTGATGAGTGTGGTGCAGGAGGCCTAATTTAAGTCCCTTTCTCTTTACCACCCTTTTCTTATAAGGAGAGGTTGGGAAGGGGAAGTGGATTTGACAGTGGAGGAGATGCAGGGCAATATCCTCTTTATGTGCGTCTCCTCCTCCGTCGTATAAGGGTAGGCAACGCATCTGCAATTGCGGATGTCTATGGACAGCGGTCGCTTCGCCATTTTAGCGGATTCTAGTGGCCGCTTGCTCGTTTGTCACATTATAAAAAAAAACTTAAGAAATTGAACTGTTTGATAACTAAAAAATTAATGATTTTTCCTATGATTATATCACTGTGAATGCATGTTAAGTGTAAATCTTGCTCTGGACAGTTATGTAGATTTCGGCGCAGCTCGCTCCGACCTCTGGCTCGCCTTAAGAGGGCATCTTTGTTATTCTGTGGATCTAACGCGCTCTAACCTTAGTTGATCACCGAACAATACGTGTTAATGATACAGATCTTATCTATCTATAGGTTAAAATCTAAAATATCTGCCTTTTATTTGTGTACTAGCTTGCGCCCGCGACTACGTCCGCGTAGAATTAAAATAAAACAAAAGTGACTACGTGTTCTTCCAGTCTATCCTCTACATCTGCACCAAATTTCATGGAAATCCGTTCAGCCGTTTAGGCTACAAACTCTAACAAACATCCATCCATTTGAACTGTCGCATTTATAATATTAGTATGATTAATTTTTGAATTAGCCAATATCTTTCTTGTCGCCACCTCCTCTACTTAATTAAAAGCTCCTTTTCACTAAGCGACTAGCATTCCAACTCCTGCAGTTGCTGCTAGAGTAGTTCCTGGACTTTAGTCGCACAAGTGGAATAAGAGTCTATAAATTGATGTATGCTGTCATAACATAATTTTGAAATAACTTTTAATTTTTTATAAGAATGTAACTAACTATTTCTTTATCAGGGTGGAGGGCGAGGCGAGGGCGGCGAGGCGGGGGGCTGCGCGTGCGGCCGCCGCGCCCCGCCAGACCCCCCGCCGCCCCCTGCACCCGCCGCGCACCCAGCACCCGCCGCACCAGCCCACCATCCCCTCTGTGCTCTCGACGACATGCCGCCGGTACTTAGGTAAGTCACCTCTGTTTTATAATCTAATCTTTGGTATAACCTCCAAAGAGTTTCCTTCCAAAGGCGATGATATCTTGCCCAGCCATACACGGCTAATTTTACTCATATAACAGATAATACAATACCATACTAATAGCAGACATTATAAATGCGAAGATCCATAGATGTATGGATGGATGTTTGTTAGAGTTTGTAGCCAAAACTATTGAACGAATGAAATGATGGGGATCACAGTCTCGAAGAACACATAGGCTTCTTACTTTTTTTTTAATTCCACACAGACGTAGTCGCGGTCAAAGCTAGTAGATTAAAAATAAGGATAGCCAGTAGATATTTTGTTCATATAGTCGATATAAAACTACTTGGAATACGTCCATATTACTGATACCTCCCCCCAGACCTCTATAACATCGGTTGGCGACACACATTGCGAGACTAAGTAAATAGCAAATTGTGAAATGTTATCGTTTTTGAGTATATAGTTAAATAAATAGTATATGTGGGAGACTGAGACGTGGGTGGCGACTTAATGCACCTTGTCTGCGCCAAGAATTTAACATTCCGTGCTAGTATTGTATACCTCTTAGATAGGTGACCGTAAATTGCAGTGCAGTATATGGAATCTATTTCTCTGCCTTTAAGATAAACGTCAGGTTTCCACTCGAATTAGGATAGAAGGACTATTTGAGATCTGTCAGGTTTTTGACAAAACCATCATTTTCAATATAATTACAAAGGAACAAATTACTCATTATTGTTTTCGAAAGATTATTATAAAGTACTTTTAACATTTATTAACTTTATACCGCGTTTATGTAAGGTAGTAAATGTTTAAAAAAAGAACATCTTGCATTGTGGGGAGTAGACTGTTTATGTTTATGTAGTTGGTACACAGCATTACAATATCGCTGGAACGTCATAAATCACTGGATAAATCTCGCAACAATCGCCTTTCTAAATAATGTATTCAATATGTTTGATGCATTAGAATGCAGTGTTAAAGTTGCCTTCAAGTTGCCCCCACCGTAGGAAGTAGGATACGGATGAAGATTACTCTAGTGTGGCTTTAATTTCCAGGTCAAATCCACTGTATAGGGAGGAGGAAGAGCAGGAGGTAGTTATAATCGTGGACTCGCTGGAGGAGCACGTGGAACCGGAGTCAGTAGCCCCCCGCGTGCCTCGCCGCGCGCCTTCCACATCCTCAGGTATTTTTATTGTATTTTTCAAACATATCTAAACATCGCTGTCGTACCGCATAACACATTAAGTGTAGCAGGGCTTGAAGTTGCGTACAGCCTTGAGCCATTAAAAATATTGAAACAGCCTCAGAAACAACATAACATCTATAAGATATATTTAATCAAATAAAGGGATACCTGTGCTTCTGGGTGCAGCTGTGCCTTCGCATATGTATGTACGTTGAACCATTCCTATTTCGGTGTATATTAAGATATAATTTTTAACTCCTTTATGTTATTATATTAATTAAAGGGCCTGTCCCACCACTGGTTTAGGCTCAGATAGCTTAAAAATGACGTCACTGTCAGATAAAGTAACAAAATCCGATATTTCCATCACAAGTTTTACACGCGGGATTGTTATCAAACAATTTAGGATTTGTGGGACAGGCGCTAAATGTATTTTAATAAGATGTACTGAGCTACTCACCCCGTTGTAGACAGATTTCGTTATTAACACGTAGTAAAACTTCATATTATTGCAGTTTAAAATAACATGTTCGTGCAGTATATCAACCATGTGTTTGATATTCAACAGACCTATCAATTATAAGTGGAACAAATTGCAGAGTGTTCGGGCTTGAAATAGAATTAGTATAATCAAGTGTGGCTAATTATGTTTATTTTGCTGTCAAAATGGTTCGGAGAAGTCATGTCGTATTCAAGTATGTAATCTGAAAGTATAAGTTGAGATCTTATTTTTTTATTTCTTCAAGTTTAAAACTTAGAAGTCTTATCAGCAAGTCGTAAATACGAGTAAGTACCATTTTATTACCATCATGCAGAAGGCCTAATTTTAGCCTCCTTTCTCTTTACACTCTTATCTTCCAAGGAAAAGATGCGAAGGGGCTGTGGGTTTAAAGGAGGGACGCATAGGAAGCGGAAATTCTTTCTGTGCATGTAGAAGTAGGCAACGCATCTGCAATTGCGGATGTCTATGGCCAGTGGTTGTTTTTTCGGAAAATTCAGATGATCCCTTTATTGTTTGGCGCCTCATGACACTTGATCTTGATGACTCTACCCCCATATCTATCACGTTTCCGTTTTCATACATCTATTGTAGATGCTCGTCGGTTTCAAGCGTTTCTTTTACATTTTACCTTTGTGCAGGGTACGGCAGCGGCGGCGGAAGCGCGGGGCGTGTGTCGCCGACATTACCAAAGATAGAGTACACTCCGGATGTATCCCGCTGTGCAGACACGGAGCGCTCTCCCGCTTCAGATTCCGACTGTGACAAGTCGGGGTCCCGCGCATCAGAATCGGCCTCAGATGACAGCCCTGACTGCACCCTCTCAAGAAGCCTCAAGGATGATATTAGAGCGTGCTTGGGTGTTTGCAGGTAATATACAGACATCATCATCTCCCCTTATACTACTCCCGTAAGGTCGGCGCGACGGGTTTTCGTCCTCCAAATAACTCTATCATCCGACATCTAAGTCATTACACCCTTCTTGATCGTGTCACTTTTCACGCAATCCATCTGTTTTTTAGGTCTACCTCTACCAGTATACTTTCACACTCATAAACATCCTTCTTGTTATATGCGATTCATCCCTCCTCATACCATGCTAACTCCTTAATTTCTCAACCATAGGGGCTACTCTCAAACTGCCTATGCAAACTATTGTCCCCAGTAGTGGAGATTAGCGCGCGATAGAGTTGAAGTAACTAGGGGAGGCCTATGTCGAAGAACAACTTAACACACATCTAGATGCTTTGCTATCTATCTGTCTAGAGTCTTATAAGAAAGGAAGCTGAAAAACTGATAATATAAAGGACCTTAGTTGTGAAAGTTATTTAATGGGAGGCTTTTTGTATATTAGATGGGATAAGGAGGTAAGCGAGCTGGTTGCCGCAGCGGCGCGGGGCGCGGGGGGCGTGTGCGCGGCGCGGGCGCGGCTGCACGCGGCACTACGCGCGCTGCACGAGCCCCCTGCGCCCCTCCCGGCGCCGCCGCACCCCGCTACGCCGTACTGCGGGCCCGGCGTGCGCCCCGGTGACGTCACCATGCGCCCCAAGCACGAAATGTCCCTACTAGTGAGTACTAGAAGTTAGCTAAGTTAACACTTTGCCGCTCAAATGTTAACCAACTCAAAGTCATATATAACAAAACTTTCAAACATTTTTAAAAGGTTTAATTTAACTAGCTGTCCCGTACGGCTTCATCTGCATGAAATTATAAAAACTTTATTTTGTTATTTACATTTGTCAAATACTCAATTGCAAATGTCAAAATACCATAATAATCTTGCTTCCTTAATGTTGGCAGCTTGTAGTTTATAGTCTCTTTCACACATGAAGGTTTTCCAATATATATCCCCTAAGTTAATAGCGTGAAAATATATAGCCTAAAGTGTAGGGCTTTTTATTAAAGAAAGTATTAATAAAAATATGCTGTGATTGTTGACATCTTACGCCACGAAGTAGTGTGTGTTTCCGCTTTATTATATTAGAATGTGTAGATAGATTATCCTGTTGTAACTGAAGAGTTGAATATACAAATTAGATTAAAGGCTAAATTGTTTTGTCCGCTAGTAAATAAAATTCAAGCCTTGTTCAATCGCATGTTACAAATTATAAGTATCAGACGGAATCAGACGAACACGAGTACTTGATAATTTGTCTTCGATTGCTTTATTTGTACAGTTAATACGGTTTGCACAATATTTCATCCAATATTTGGATAAATATTCGGCCATTTTCAATGCTTATGAGGTTTCATAGAATTAATTACTTGAAACAAAACTTAGTTTTATTAAAAACAAAAGTATGTTGTACTATTGTTACATATCGACAATACTGTAGATTATGGAATACATTGAAAAATAATATAAAATATAGCCTATGTTACTCACAGATACCTTTCTGATGATGATTTTTTTTTAAATCGCCCAAGTAGTTTTTGCGTGAATCAAATACATACAAAAATCAAAAAAACCAAATCCTTCTTTACAATATTACTACAGATGAGTTAAATAATCTTACTAATATTATAAATGCGAAAGTTTAGATGGATAGATGTTTGTTAAAGTTTGTAGCCTAAACAGCTGAACGGATTTCGATGAAATTTGGCACAGACGTAGAGGATAGCTTGGAAAAACACATAGGCTATTTACTTTTGTTTTTATTAATTCCACGCGGACGCAGTCGCGGGCGAAAGTTATAACATAGATATCCGATGTTAGTCAGTTGTTTTTTAATTTAATGTTACAAGGAGCTTTAATGTAATACATGTAATTTATGCGAGGGTTTTACATTCACGTGGGTTGAATTATAAATTATGCATATTTATTGGACACTGGTCTCAAACAATCGATGTCATCCATAAAATTATAATATCATATTGTTTGTTAGTCAAGAGAAAAATTCAGGTCAATTACTATGACATAGTAAGTCTTTTAGTTAGTTATTTCTTCGACTCAAGCGCGCTCACTTTTGATAAAACTATCGCACAAATGTTTAGTCTCGCTTTGATTCTTATGAGCTTATATGGAGGTTGCATTACTCGTTTTTTAGTTGTGCAACTAAACAGTTGAAGGCTGCGAAACAATCGACAATCGCACAACAGTTGTCCGATAGTTTAGTCAAAGGTGTGCGCCAGCTCTAAATCGATTTAAGAATAATTAATTGATATCTCACTACTCGTACTTTCTTTCAATGTGCTACTTTCCCACAGCACGTTTGGTTCGACAATTTAATATTTCGTAATGAAATTAAAGTGTAAATTACATCAAGGATATAATTCGCGCGTCACACGACCAATGAGAAACCAAAGTACGACACTCAATATTTGTTAATTATTTTATTTACAAACCAATTAAAAATTGTAATTGGACGATTTATTTACGTAAGTTAGATTTTATTTGTACCGTCTAACAGATTGCTAAAACACCTTTAACTATCTATGTGCGCCCCAAAGGAGCATGGAAAGTTGGGAGATTGTATAACAAGATGTGTCAAAGACAAGTTTTCTCCTCTCGTCTCCTCCCTTTTTTAATAAATAATGTGGCAAACAAGCAAGCGGCTACCTAAAGACGATATTTCCACTTCTTATGCGTCTCCTCCACCGGCAAGTACACAATCCTTTCCAGGTAAAGGGACCAAAATAAGCTTCCGGCGCGCAAAATTTCTTCAGCTCATTTGAACGTTGCTGTCTAGTAATTAAATGTCATGCTTGTACGCCAAGTACTGGCATGCAAGTCATCGTTGACACATGTCCGCATCAGATATGTAGTAACTGGCATGTAAGTGGCCATATCGTATTTGTTAATTTGGTAACATTTAAAATATCAAGTACGGGTCTTTCACTGTCCAGGAAAATTCTAAGAATTGGCCCTTACCATATACAGCTTTTTGAATATTTACATCAAACATTCACCCATTGTGTTGCGACATTGCCAACTTGGTCATTGCTACGTGTTTTTAATATTAAAAGTTTCCCTATTTGATATTCAAAACCGCCCATTTGTTATTCCGGTGGTCAAGGCGTGTCAGCGAAGTTTTGCATGCGTTTGTCGTATTCGCATATTTAGGTCACGGTTAATGTCAAATTTTATTAGGATTCATTCCCAATGTCAATCATCACAACAGTTAACAGGCTAACTACTAGGTTTTTTTTTTTAATTTTGCGCGGTCGAATATCGCACGCAAAAGCTAAAAAGCATTTAGAATAATCCGAGAATGAAATGTTTTTTTTTATTTGAAAGTCTTTTCAGCAGTTTTTGTTTATTGTTTTATTTTTAATTAGCTTTTTAGAGCGGGAATACATAACAGTAGCTGGTACACTTACATACAAGCTACTGGCATAGCTATAAGCATGTGTGACAGTGACAGACTTACATTAAGTGGAAAGAAGAGTCGAGGGTGTATGAAATTGACATCTTGACGTCTTGCCTCGTACGGTTTTGTGAACATTTTACTGACTTGTACGCATTACACCAGTGACACGTGACTATAAATGCCAGCTAATACTCCATTTTACGGGTATGTGTATTCCCTCTTTATTACGTCGTGATGTAAAAATGCTAAATACAGAGGTACACATTCCCACAATCATGGTAAATCCGCGATCCTTCCAAGTTATCTTGACCCCTGACAACTAATGATCGTAATATACGAGCACGTGCTAACTTCAGAAGTCATGGCATTCAATCACTTCAGGTTGGAATCCGCGAGATCGTACAATAAATCAGAGTCACTTAAATATATTATATTCAATAATGTTACTTGTTAAATTGATGATTGTTGTAAAATTATAAATGGAGCCGAAGTGACGAGCTGTCAGATTTTTGTAACACTTTTTCCCTGACCTGTATAAATGGACAGCCTAGACGTGGTATTTTGTGCCTCTTTCACCTCACCATTTTAGTCAACAGTCGCCATTGGTGGTGAAAATCCTAAGGATACAGTTAAAACTGTCTTTCAACGTATAAAAGAAACGAAGCAAAAGTTGTTATTTCCAAGCCTATCTATTTATAGAGATCAGTGTTTAACACATTACCCGCTGTCAGGTTCTCAAAATTGATGAACGCCTAACATTGAGTAAGAAATACTTTTGTGGAGCATTCTAGTTTTATATTTGAACGCGTTTTTATACTATTGCCATGATTACTGAAATAACAAATTTAATAAAAAATTTGAAAAACTAGCTTTCGCTCGCGACTCCGTCCTTGTGGATTTAAGGAAAACAAAGTGTGTAAGTGTAAGTAGCCTATGTGTTCTTCCATACTTTCCTCTACATCTATATCAAATTTAATCAAAATCTGTTAAGCCGTTTAGGCTACAAATTCTAACAAACATCCATCCATCAAAACTTTCGCATTTTAATATTAGTATGACTATGACTATGACTAGCTTTAGAGAGTAGAGAAGCTACGTGGAATCAATTTATAAACAAACGAGAGCAGCCTATGTGTTCTTCCAGAATGTACGTCTATGCCTTTTATCTAGATGTGTTCACTAGTTTACGGTACAAGCTATAACAAACATCCTTCTAAACTTTCACATTTACAATATTAGTAAGTACAGGGATGCGGGAGTACCTCCGCTAAGGCGAGCACGAGAGACATTTTTCTTAAAGTAATTTTATTATAACTATTATGCGCATAAAGTATAAAGTTTATGATATATTTGGCATCAAATGAGCTGTACTAATTGATACCAAGGAGTTAAATAATTAAAAAGATTAAGATCTCTGAGCTAATTTAATTTATTTTTATACCACAGATTTTAAACAGCACTTTCTGAAAATAGAATTAATATTTCAAAGAAATAATTGTTTGTATATTATGCAATTATTTAAATATCTTAATTTATACATTAAGGTAAGGGAACTCTGAATTTAATTAATTTATTTCAACATACACTAATAAAACGAAATGTAGCCTAGACTATAGACGAATGTAGCTTAAGCCTCGTGGAATTAAAACCATTGTAAGTAGCCTGTGTCTTTCCAGACTTTTCTACATACCTATGCCAAATTTTATTGAAATCCGTTTGCCAACGTATAGACGAATATAGCTTTAGCCCGTGACTCCGACCGCGTGGAATTGAAACCATTGTAAGTAGCCTATGTGTCTTCCAGACTTTTCTACATATCTATGTTTGGCATTTCATTGAAATCTGTTTAGGCGGTAAACTCTAACAGAACTACATCCATCCATCTAAAATCTCGCATTTATAATATTATTTAAGCCAAAAAGTAAATCTTGGTAAATCCATAGTTTTTTTTTCTGGATGTGGTAGAAATATAATACTTATTTTATGTTAAACGACTCAAAGTGCATTAAAATAAGGTGGTTAGTTGCATTGGATAGGTTAAGGGAGATATGCAGAACAATTTCAGTGTTGCCACATTCCGCTCTTGAACTACATTCACTCGCAAATGTAGTGGAAACGTACAGTTTAAAGTTTTAGTCAGCAGTTGAGCAACCAGGCTCTGACGATTAACAGGATGACATAGAAAGTGAAATAGGAGGTTATACATATCTATCCTTATTGTTTAACTTTTGATTACATTCGTCTCTCTCCCCCCCCTC